CTGGCATACCCATTTGCTGCATTCTTGCTATTTTCGATACTAGCATTGTAATATCTTTTCATACTTTTTAGAAGTTTGTGAATTGAGCTTCACCGTTGCATTCGTTTGAAATTGTTTTGTTAAAGATTTAAAATTGATTTTTTATTATACATTTTGTCTACGGCTCTTTTCCAAAACATAGGTAGAAAATGTTGCCTACATAGGGAACTTGCTATGTAGGAAAAACAAGCGCGCTCCAATACGAAGGCTCTTAAAAAAGGTTTTTGTTGTCGTATATGATGTACAGAATTTTGGCTAAGAACTAAGGTAGAATCACATATATGTTTAGCCAATCCCATAATGCTTTGCAACAAAGTTAGTATAAAAAAAATAATGGTCGACAAAGCCAATATGACGAATTTACATTTATTTACTCAGTAAAATATTAGAGTAGTTAATGTACTTAATGATACTCAATATTTGTGTGCGTTATGTTTTAACGCATACTACAGTATTCCTCAGTTAGCTTAGCAACATGCTAACGCTAAACTTAATTGGAATCAGTTGCGAACAGTGCAAGTTTTATGACCCACAGAGTTGCTGCCGATATATAACTTTCAAAATCAGTGAGGTTCGCTTTCAGTTAGTATGCTGCCTAAGTAGGCACCAAGGTGTTTAGAACGCAGCCCAATTTTTAAAGTGACAATCTTTTTTTGCGTTCTCCACAGGTGCTGCCCCGGTTCAACCACAAGGGCGAGGTAGTGAAAGCGCACATCGTGAATGTGAGCTGGTCCGCCGACCATCGCATCATCGACGGAGCCACCATGTGTCGTTTCTCCAACCTGTGGAGATCGTACCTGGAAAACCCCGCTTCCATGGTCCTGGATCTGAAGTAGAAAGCACACTTCCTCCAAGCACATCTATCTAGCACGTATCTAGACTCCGTCTCCCGACACTAAAGATTTTTTGGTTACTGAGGCACTGAGCTATTTGAGCCATTGATTTCCATCATGACTGAAGAACATTTCCACAACGTCATAAAGCTAATAACTGCTGTTTTGTTGTTTTTCTTAATTCTGTCCTCTTGTTGCCTTACTGACATCAGATGTTACATCTACCAGAACGTATTGTTGAATGTTAGAGAATATGAACCCAGTGTAGCAGAATGAAAACGTACCTGTGATGTTTTTGTATATGAACTGTCTACATACTGTAAAATCTCCAATGGCGTTGCACAAGGGCAATGAACAGTGATATTTGTTAGTGGATAACATTTAGAAATAGTCTAGGTTCATCTTATGAAAATGTCACCCCCAAAAAAAGCAAATTAAAAAAAAATTATATTTGGTATAAAGAAATATTATTATTATTATTATTATTTAAAATATTGCTATTCCTAAAAAAATAGATATAGAAAGCACACTTCCTCCAAGCACATCTAGATGTTTGACTCAGTCTCCCGACACTAAAGATTTTTCGTTACTGGGGCACTGAGCTGTTTGAGCCATTGGTTTCCATCATGACTGAAGAACATTTCCACAACGTCATGAAGCTAATAACTGGTGTTTTGTTGTTTTTCTTCTTAATTTTTTCCTCTTGTTGCCTTACTGACATCAGATGTTACATCTACCAGAGCGTATTGTGTATTGTTGAATGTTAGAGAATATGAACTCAGTGTAGCAATATGAAAACGTACCCGTGATGTTTTTGTAAATGAACTTTCCACATACTGTAAAATCTCCAATGGCGTTGCACAAGGGTTTTTAAAAGTGACATTTGTTAGTGGATAACATTTAAAAATAGTCTGGGTTCGTCTCATGAAAATGTCACCTGAAAAAATTATAATAAAAAAGAAATTATATTTTGTAGAATTATTATTATTAATATTATTATTATTATTATTACTGTGACTTTTTCAAATATTGCTATTCCTTAAAAAAAATACATTTCTTGAAGCAAAATATAATTCTTTTTTTTATTTATTTTTTCAGTGCTGCTTTTCTTTCCAGTCAAGCGTTTTTAAAGCACAATGGAAATATATGTGATTCAAACTGGCTGTGGGGAATCTGTACTGATGCGTCCTCTCATCTTCTCTGGTGTGATGATTCTTGTTGGAGCATAATGTTCTGCCACTCATTAATAATGGGAGTTTCCTTGAGGGATTGTTGTGTGAGTGTGTGAATGACGAAGGAAAGCGTTTTAATAAATTGTACATTTGAGGAACCGTTTCTCAGCAGTAAGCAGTGTTACTATTCCATTTCAAAACACGGTTGAACTCCAGGAGCTGGAATGAGCACAGCTGGTAAATTTGATAAGATTTATGATCCTTAGAGGAGTCAAACAGAGCTTGAGCAGGGGGTGGAGCTTGTGTCTCATTCTCCGCTTAGATTTTAAAGCCTGGTGCCTCTATCTCTTGAGCACAAACTAAAAGGGGTTTAGCTAAGCATCTATTACAGAAAGAACATGCAGGTAAGACTTTCTCATATGTCTTAAATAATAGTGTAATGTAACAGGATTAATTGTATTCTAGGTTCACTATAAAACTAAAACGGATCAAATAATTTGAAATGTAACTACACCATAAATGTATGGTTTAAAGTTTGGTGCAACCGAGTTAGAAAAACTTGATTTAAACTGGATAATGGATTGTAAACAATCAATATCAAATAACACATTGGCAAATTAAAAATATTTATTTAAATTAACAGAATATTTGCAAATTAAAATAAGATCTTGATATAACATTATTTCTCATTATTATTGTAAATTAATAATCTGACATCCAGTTTTTTAATAATAAAATTAAACTATAAAAACCTATTTAATCTGTAATATGCATGTTTGGGGTCAGTAAGATTTATTTACTTATTTTTTAATTAGCACATATTCAGCAAGGATGCATAAAACGATGATGGTAAAGACGAAAGATTTATATTTCAAATAAATGTTCTTTTTTAGCTTTCTACTCAAAGAAAATAAAATGTATCACAGGTTCCACAAAAATATTAAGCAGCAACTGTTTTCAACATTGATAAAAATAAGAAATATTTCTTGAGCATCAAATCAGCATATTAGAATGATTTCTGAAGGATCATGTGACACTGAAGACTCGACCTTTTCATTGGATACATGACAGTAACAATTACATTTATGTATCTAATTAAACAAGAAAGAGAAGAAACAGTGGAAGGGACCCCAAGAGAAAAGTAAAAGCACCATAAGATGGAAAATGTCCAAGGAAGACCCTGAAAGAAAGAGCAGGACATCATCACAGATCCCCATCCCAAGGAGATTCAGCTCAACCCGGACGATGAAGAAGGAACCGAGAGGCCAAAAGTTACCAGACAGAGACGAGAAGCTCATCCACTACCAGAGCATCCCAGAAAGATGCTTCTCCACTGACCGAGCTCATGAAATAATCAAACACATTGTTGATGAAAGACTGGAGACTGTCGAGTACAGCTGCTCATGCTCGGGCATCTCCAAAGAACTGTCTGACTGTATTAAGACGGCTGTAAAGAAGCTGCTGTATGATCGATATAAGCTGGTCTGTTACGTGGCCATCGGGCAGCTGAAGGATTCGGTGGTGAACTGCTCTAGTAGAGCCATCTGGAGTCCCACTTCAGACACATTCACGGACTATATCTATAAAAACAGATCTTTATTTGCCGTTTGCATTTTGTTTGCAGTGTATAAAGAGTAACCTAACTGGCCAACTGGAATTAACCCCTTAACTGTCACCCTCATTTTTTTTTTTAAATAGGCATGCAGGTGCACTATCCAAACTTAACTTGTTGTAATTTATGAACACTTTGGAATATGGACATAAGGTTGGTCTCTTTTTAAAGAAGAAAATCAGCAGATTATCGCAAAAGTTATGGTAGTTTAAATTTACTGTAAAGAAAATGCACTATATTAATTTTATTTTATATATAATAAATATTTTACATAACAGGTTTTACTCTAAAATTGGTATAAAATTAAAGCCTTATGTCTAAATAAGTTATGTTCCAAATTTGAAGTTGATATGAAAAAAAAATTTAGGTTCCTGTGAGATTTTATTTAGGGCGTTATACCACAAACAGCCACCGGGTGCCATCTAAACTCCATAAAAAAAATTTTATGCATTTTTCTGGTCACAAATGTCTAGATTTCTCTGTCAATATTACTTATATGTTTTTTGTCAAGACTATAAAAAGTTTTGATTGTAAAAAGAGCGTAACGCATTTTGTAATATGACACTCGACACCGCCCACTAAGGGGGAGGAGACCGCCAAAAGATTTAAAGTACCATTTCCATGGTAACACAATGTCCGATTTCAAAATGGTTTTCACAGGATGAATCTTTGGCTTCTAAGCTTTCAAATGATATATGATTTATGATGATTACTAAAAGATTTGATAGAGAAAAAGGACAACAACAACAACAAAAAGAGTGCCAAGCGTCCCACATGTGGGACGGTGACAGTTAAGGGTGTTAAAGTACAATTTTATGTAAGGCGACATTATGCACAAGTAGGCTATTCATTTGTATAGTTATAGTAAATATTCAAGAATATGTGAAAATAAAAAAATAAAAAGATTTTTCAAAGTTAAATAAAATTTATTGGAGTATGTTTTACATGAAAATGCTATTTCAGTCTTTCTCTAAAATGATATATGATGATTACTAAAAGATTTGATAGAAAAAGGACAACAACAACAAAAAGAGTGCCAAGCGTCCCACATGTGGGACGGTGACAGTTAAGGGTGTTAAAGTACAATTTTATGTAAGGCGACATTATGCACAAGTAGGCTATTCATTTGTATAGTTATAGTAAATATTCAAGAATATGTGAAAATTTAAAAAAAAAAAGATTTTTCAAAGTTAAATAAAATTTATTGGAGTATGTTTTACATGAAAATGCTATTTCAGTCTTTCTCTACTTCATAATTTCATGTTTAAATCAATGTTACTTGCCATTTCTTTGTAATTAATTGTCAAATTTACAAGCAACTTCTGAGTGAAAATTGTTTGTACACTTTTTTTTTTTTTTTCAGTTTATATCATTAAAACATTCTACTAAAGCAGCAGCCACGACATACAAATATTTATCTAACAGCAATGTTTTGAAACGGTCCTAAGCTTCATTGTTAATCAGGATAATATTGCTCTATTCTTAAATGCACGTCTGGTGTGGTAAAGTATGCAAAAGTGGACAGCTGTTCTTGTGCCAACTTTAGCATGTGACCACACTATTCAGTGTTGTCTCGGGTTAAATATAGACATTGGCCGGAGTTACGCTTCAAGAGGGAAAACCTGTGACAAACACGGAGCGGATAATTACTTCAAAGCCGATTCTTTCAACACGGATCACACTTACTAGAATTGTCAGAGGAATTGTACCATTGGTGACTATCTTCTCCATATCAAATGGGAGCTAACCTGGTAAAAACATGGTACAAGCGCTGGAAGGACAATATGACCCAATGAGAGTGGTAAGCACAAGCTAATTCAAACCTTCTCACAGTTTATTTAATGTCAATCACAGCATATGATTTACATAGTACTAACTCAAATGTGCCCTATCATCTCAAACCAAAACAACATGCAGCGCATACATTTTCCTGGCCGGTAAAATGGCTTATCTGCTGCCCTAGCATACTGTGTGTGAGGTGATATTTGGGGCTCTGTATCATCATGACGGGGGTCACGGTGTGCTGTGGGACAGTGAACTCTATCAAGACTCTGTGGGAAACCAGGATAAAGAAAAGCACAGATGAACTGAAGAAGGAGAGAGAGCAGAGAGACAGGAGAGCAGTGGGTAGGTACGTCCATTACGGTCATGTATCCCATGGGAAGCATAATGACTTATTTTAAAGCAATGGTTCTCAACTGGTGGGTCGTGACCTAAAACAAGCATTGCAGGTTACTAAGTGTGAACACTAATCATAAAATCATGTATAGTTGGGATATGTTAAATACTTTTCAGCATTAAAGGTCGAGTCCACTCAAACTCTATGGTTCATTTGTTACTTGGTAGAAGCTCTTGTTTGACATGACCTCATCTCTTAAAAACCATGAACTAAATTATGCAAGTTAAAAGAAGATACAAACCATACTGCATCAAATGTGATTTTCAGGTCTGTTACTGTGTTGGGTTGCCACTTGATGTCCAATGTAAAATCTGGATCCTGAAGAACCAGTTGAGAACCACTTCATAGACTGTGCTTTTGTCTATCCTGAAACCTCCATTAACCGTTGTAGTAGAACGAAAGTTTTTGAATAGTTCAAAATCTTTGGCGTAGGTTGACCGGTGCCTGGGAGGATCGCATCACTTTGGCCAATCTAAAGGGAAAAGTTGTGACAGAGGAAGGACGTGTCATCCTGCGTATTGAAAAGGAGGAGTGGAAGGTAAAGCATTTTGTGCTTTGCGAGTTTGAGGTCAGTTTCAAATTAGAAATCAAAATCCAATGCACAAGAACCAGACACCCCCATTTGTTATTTTAGGTACATGAGCACCCTCAATATACCATTTTTCTGAGCCCACACTGGTGCAGAATATTATCCAACATTTCATAAAGTAAAGTGTACCTGCAAGGACTGAGGCAGAGGTGTCCAGTCCTGCTCCCAGAGGGCCAATGTCCTGCAGAGTTTAGCTCCAACACACTTACCTGCAAGTTTCTAGTCAATAGGCTTGTTTGAGATGCGCCTTGCCTTGCCTGAAATGTAGGCGAGAGTAGGCGGCTGCAGTGAGGGGAGGAGTGAAATAAGCGCAGTCAAGACGGACAGTTCTGCCCTCTCGAAGTGGAACAGATACCAACGAGATCAAAGACAGGTATCGCGTTATTCTCACTCACGTGCTGTGTTGCTTATAAACATAATATAATTTCAGTTCTGATACTTTTATATGAAAATAAATGTGATGAACAAGACACTTAAAGTGCTTGCTATTTAATTCCATACGAAAGGTGTATTTATCATCCATTTTTACTTTAATACAAACATGTATTTTAGATTTTTATAGAAATATGACAACAATCACATATCTCACACAGAGATTGCACTGTCATCGTGTTTGGGAATATTCATGCATAATTTAAATACATAATCACATGAAACCAGATTAAAAAAAAAAAACATTTTAGAAGAGAACGCAGCATCACAGTTGTCTGAACCAATGAGCATTAAGCTGTGTCGTCAGTCAGTCGTTTCCCATCATGCTTTTGATCAGCGCAGTCGGTGGAGAGCAAGTCGGACACTTTTCTAACCGGCATGCATCTCGCGGTGATCGATTCTGCGCAGAATTTGCTCATCTCAAACAAGCCCAATCTGAAGACCTTGATTAGCTGCTTTGGGTGTGTTTAATTAGGGTTGAAGCTAAACTCTGCAGGACACTGACCCTCCAGGAACAGGATTGAACACCCTTGGTCTATGATATGGTTTGGGGCAGGACTTTGGACAAAAGGTGTCCAATCCTGCTTCTGGAGTTCCTGCAAAGGTTAGCTTTAACCTGCTCCAACACACCTGTCTGCGTATTTAAAGTCATTTTGAAGACCTTGATTAAGCGGTTTCAGGTGTGCTTAATGGAGGTTGGAGCCAAACTCTGCAGAAAGGTGGTGGCCCTCCAGGAACAGGATTGGACACCCCTGACTTCTAAAAGAAAAATAGTTCGAAAACAATGCTTTCAAACTGCTCACGTATTCGCAAATATAGCAGCCTACTGGCTTTAAAAAAAATTTCCTATTGAGTGTTTGGTTTTCATTGTTTGCACTCTTTTTGCAGACTCTTCCTCCAGCTCTGGTTCAACTCTCCCAGATCCAAGAATGGCAGTTACACCGAATAGGACTTCAAAAAATCCCACGGTTCATCTCAAGCTTTGAGAGTCTTCTAGTCTTGGACTTGTCTCGCAATTCAGTCACAGAAATTCCCAAAGAAATCGGTCAGTACAAAAATGGGTGTCATTTGTACAAACTTTGACTTTCTTTAGCCAAAGTAACTCTCAGATATGCTCTTATAAATAACAGGCAAATTATCTCGGTTACGAGAGCTGTTGTTGAGCTATAACAGAGTAAGCTATGTACCAGAAGAACTTGGTTGTTGTGAAAATCTGGAGAAACTGGAACTTGCAATGAACGAAGATCTGGATGAGTTGCCTACTCAGGTCAATAACATTGAACACATGTATATACCGCATATTTGGTCTTTAAAACTCTCTATATACCTACTGCCTGTGCTTGCTTTGATCTAATTTCCTTAGCTTAGCAATCTAAAGAAGCTATATCACTTGGACCTCTCCATGAACCATTTCACCACCATTCCAGATTGTGTGGTCAACCTTCCTTCTCTAGAGTGGCTAGACATGGGCAGCAACAGGTTGGAAAGTTTGCCAGAAGATATTCACAGGTAAAATACTAAACTACAAGCAACTTCAGATCATTCTCTTTTCTGTCAATGTACTACTAATAGAACCAAGATTTTGTAATAAGCAGAAAACTCACCTGTTGAGGGTATCTGGTAAAGCTTCCTCGCTCATCTCATGTTCTTCCTCTTCACCTGTTTTATGTTCACTTCGTTTTTCTGTTGTCTTGGAGCCAATTTTTCTCATCCCACAAGTGGCCCAGCTCGACATGCGCTGAAAGGCAGCAAACTCTTCCGGTCCAAGACCTCTCTGCCTGAAGAACTCTTTTCCCACGTAGTGTCTCCAGTCGCAACGGTGGTGGCAGCAAAGAGCGATGGCCAGTCCTGACACTATGAGCTTTTCACCAGTTTCCCTGCCTTCGGTTGAGGCAACAGGCTTGATAAAATCACCAGCACCCTCATTCTGATGGAGTTTTATGCGCTTTGTTGGAGGTTCATCATCTTTGTCGGTGCAGCTATGCTCAAATAAACACCGAAGTGCCAGATCTGTGGTGACAAGTTGACAACTCAATCTAGTAGTACTGATACCATAATGACGTTTATTGAATTCTAGTCTACCTGTTGCTGCACCACACAGGTGCTTCCCAACACCAATAATAGGAAGTCCTTTTTTTCTCAGAAGAGGGACCTTCGCTGAAAGGTACAAAGTAGTTTATTAGAAGATCAAATTAAAATAGTAAAACTATTTATTTTAGAATATATTCAGACAATTACGACTAGTTTACTCACATAAATCAAGGTGCTGAATATCAACCTGAAGCCTATCAAATGCTGAGTCTGCATTTTTGTGCTTGCCATCTACCTAAAAAACATAAAATTGAAATTTAACCTTACTTTCGAGTAGAAAGAACAATATTTTCCTGAATTTGAGGAAAGGATAGCTTTATGCGTTTGACACCACACCTTAAAGCGAGTACTGGACCTTTCCACGAGTAAAAAATTGACATTTTCAGCTGCTTTAAGAGCGATGTGAATCCAGTGGGACAGTTTTCCCTTCCCTGCTCCAAACTCTATGTAGCATCTGTTTGGGCTGAGCAGTTCTAAAACCTCCATGTTTCCCAGAATTGAAGCCTGTGAAACCGGGTAACATTTCTTTAAAATAAGGATATAACAAAGACTATTTATATATAGGATGTGTGCTTTAGCAGTTCTGGAGTGCTTTACCTGTTGCTTGAGGTGTTTAAAGGCAGAATCTCCATTCTTTGGGTCACTTAGAGGCTCATGTAGAGCAGAATGTGAGATTAGATATTCACAGGTAAAATACTAAACTACAAGCAACTTCAGATCATTCTCTTTTCTGTCAATGTACTACTAATAGAACCAAGATTTTGTAATAAATCCTATAAACTTTACGTCCCAATTTAGAATGGAGAAACTTCACACCTTGTGGCTCCCAAGAAATGAACTAGAGTACCTGCCAGACAATATCAGTCACATGCAAAGTCTGGACACACTAGTTCTGAGCAAAAATAAACTACGAGACATTCCTCCACTTATGGAGGGCATGAGTAACCTCAGGTAAGCACTAAAGTATTGTTCAATTTGTAGAGTGTCATTGGGGACCAATAAAAAAACTTGATGAATACAAAATTTTTCTATAGGAAACCCTGGAATCTATTTCACGCAAGAATGCAAATGCTTCTTGGACTGAGTTGCTAAGCATTGGTGAAGCATTCGTGTCTGCATACTTGCGCATTTTACAAATGATTACGATTACGAAGTTTAAAATGCTCATTCTGCAGGTTTGTGAATTTCCGAGACAATCCTTTGACATATGATGTGACGCTTCCTAACTTAAAAGAGGATGTAGATGAAGAAGAGAACGACAGGGAGATGTTTGGTCGCGAGTTCATGCACTTCTACATCCAAGAGGCCCGGAAAAGAGGTTATGCCGTACTCAATATGTATTGTGTGCAAAATTGGTAGCAGAACTTATTGTTTAATAAATGAAATAAACATGAAATTAAGCCTTGAGAGCCCCTTAAAGACCAACTTTTGTGTTAAATGTCTCTTGCAGGATCCCAAACTTTCACATCAGTGCAAAATGTGATGTTGGAAGGCGTGTCAGAGACCGCATCTTCTTTGTGACTTGCATGCTGGCTTCTGTCTGCCTTCAGGCTTGATCTTCCGGTCCATCATGTCAAGTTTTGTTCTGTGAAGAGCACTTCACGTCTATTAAATGTCTCGTCTATGCTGTTTGTTGGAGTTGCTGCTTTCTGCTAGTATGTCATAACTAATGTTTGTGGATGAGCTAAAATAAAATCCATAAACATTGATCAAATAAAATGAAGCATACGTGTCCTGCACTTGAGCTTGTTTGTCTTGTTTAAGAAGGCTGTTGAGACTCATCTCTATTCTGATTGGCTGCTGGAACGGCAGTTAGTATCACATTCTCCAATGAAATGTCTCTGCTTGTGTAGTATTTCAGGCTAGTTTCAAAGCCTTTTTGCTGAAGGTAATACACTCTGCCATGGTCAATCAGACGTTTACAAAGCTGTCCGATCTGTTCCCGATCTTCAACTGACATCAAACTGCAACAAAAACGTTTACAAATGAGATCATGATCTTAATGCAATTTGTATTGGTCGATCAGCAGAAAACTCACCTGTTGAGGGTATCTGGTAAAGCTTCCTCGCTCATCTCATGTTCTTCCTCTTCACCTGTTTTATGTTCACTTCGTTTTTCTGTTGTCTTGGAGCCAATTTTTCTCATCCCACAAGTGGCCCAGCTCGACATGCGCTGAAAGGCAGCAAACTCTTCCGGTCCAAGACCTCTCTGCCTGAAGAACTCTTTTCCCACGTAGTGTCTCCAGTCGCAACGGTGGTGGCAGCAAAGAGCGATAGCCAGTCCTGACACTATGAGCTTTTCAC